CTCAATTTGGACATAGCATCAGCTCTTTGTAAACATCTGGACGGCTAACACAAAGCTAGCGGAATAATGTTAAAGCTGAGTGTATGCAGACCCCAGATACGTCTATATTGTCAGTTGGTAATTATGTGGCAGTGTGATTCAGGCCACTTTGCTGAGAAGCATAAAAATATTGTAAAGGGAAGTGTAAAAAATACTTTCTTCAGAGAGTACTGAGTAATATTTGATACATTGCTTTTTTGAGTAATGACACTGACATGAGAATGCTGAGTATGAGAATAACAGTGTGTCATCACAGCAGTGATGAGTGAATGGAATGATTGAGGTTAATAATGGGACAGGAAGAAAGTGCCTGTGAACTAATTAAGAGGTTTACTCACCCAAATCAGCTTCATTTGTGTCATCAATTACTTTCTTTAATCATTATATACAGAGGTGGCAGAAGTTTGCACCAGCACTCGATTAAAAATGCCTCAAAGGCAGATGAAATCTGGAACTAGGATCAAACTCTTAATTGCTACAGGGACATTTTACAGCTGCACTAATCAATACTCTCAGAGCGCAGTGGAGCTTAATAATAAAAAGTAGAAAGACCTTTTAAAACGTTATTTATTTTTATTCAGTGTTACACCCTCCTTTATGTATATATTTTGGGATTCAGAACTCATTGAATGCTAATGCTGGCTTACAATAAAAAGGGCTAATGTACCTCCATGTACACTCAGTGGGATGTCCTGAAAGGGTTTTCACATCTCCTAGCAACAACTGGTATTTTTTTATGTCCACAAAGTAGCGTCAATGCTGACTGGTACATCGGATGTCCTCAGAGGGATTTGCAAAGTGAATACAGCAAAGGAAGAAGTGAAAGCAGAGATGGAAGACTATATACGATGAAGATATATAATGGCTCAAAAGGAAGGAGTGAGGCAGAGATGGATGGAGAACAAAATGGAATCAGAGAAAAAAAGGGCAGCAGAGCTTAATGAAAAAAAACAAAACCAAGATGGAGTGATGATACTATTACCCTCCTGGCCTAAAGCCTCCATGATTGATATCATATTTATCTCCTCCTTTCTTGTTTGAGATTTATAATTGCTTGCAGAAGGCTTTAAAGAAAAAGATTATTAAAAAGAATGTTTTCATATTGTCAAGTCAAGTCGGCTTTATTGTCATTTCAACCATATACAGCTAGTACACAGTGAAGCGAAACAACGTTCCTCCAGGACCAAGGTGCTACATGCAACATAAATTTACAACATAAATTAACAGAAAACACTAAACTAGCTAACTAAGAGGCCTAGTTAGCTGGCTAGCAGAGACAAGACAGACTGACCTAACATAAATTACAACATAAATTAACAAAAACTAACTAACTATCTAAGGAAGACTTTTTTTTTGTTAACAGACAGCAGACAACAAAGTGCACGTGCAAATGTGCAAACAAGAGCAACAAAGTGACAGTGTGACAAAAAAAACACAACGTAACAT